ATGGAAAGGTTGGCCTTCAGCTATGAACGCCTTAAGATAAAGTCAAGTACGCACGCTCGGTATACTTTCCGTTAGGACACGCGGTACACGTTGTCGCTCCAGCAGCTGAGAAATACCCGGGGCGGCATTGCGTTCTTGCATCATCACCAGAACAAGCATACCCTGCCGTACATCTCTATAGGGATGTGAGATGGTATCTCAATGTAAGACAGAAGACGCACTTGACACCCATTGTCGAAATAGTATCCGGCAGGGCAAGTAGCGCGACGTGAGAGACCAGCAGGTGAGGGAGGAATCCCAAACCGCTTGCTCTTAAGTTTCTTCGCAACTGCTCCAAGAATACCTGAGTCCTTGGCAGAGTCACTAACACCTTGCGCATTGACGAGCGTAGCGATGATGGTGTAGAGTAGGATGGTCGAGATGGGAAGGTGCATGGTTGTAGAGCAGTAAAAGAGTGGAAATGCGAGTGTGCTAGTGAGAATAGATATATATAATGAGATGACGAGGATTAATAGAGGCACTGGAGTTGGATATGGTAGCAGGTCAAGTTTCAGATTCCGCTGGCCAAACAAGGCCTCAGAATTTATAGTCCCTCCTCTATATGCAAATCAGATTGATCCTGCGCAAGTCCAGGGCGAGCGACCCTCCATCGGCGAATTTACCAGCTTTCTTAATGTTGACATTGATTCGGTTATCAATTGGGAGCCCAAACTGGCTCTGATTTTACGAATCAGCTGTTCTGATAAATTCCCATTTTTTAATGCAGTTAAACTGGTCCGAAGTAATGGCCGACAATTATTGGCCAGGTCGAAGTTGTCACGAGCCACACGATCATCACGAACATCACCCAATACCGAATAAACCACTATGCTCCTTCGACTTTACCAACTTCAACGACATTTCACAGAAAAAGTGTCTTACCTCTCATCTGTTAGAAGCTTTCACCAAACTACAAAATCAAACATGCGCATCCTACCCATCCCAATTCGATCCGACAACTACATGTACCTCCTTGTAGAACAACAGCAGAGTGTCGGGAACTCTACCATTGGTCAAACGAACAAGCTCAAAGCTCTTCTAGTAGACCCAGCTGATCCCAAGGCATTAGCAAAGGCTCATGCAGCTGCCGGAGAAGCAAACATGGATGTCGACATTGTCGGCATACTGACGACGCATCACCACGAAGACCACGCCGGTGGAAACGATATTATCGTAAGCAAATATTAGATAGAACCAATTCAATTGTTATTAATGTAAGAAATGACAGGCCGAGGCACTACCCTCAATTCCAATCATCGGTGGTGCCCCAGACAGCGGTGGGCAGTCAAAGGTACGAGGAGCAACCCGTACTGTCAAGGATAATGACGAGGTTACTCTTGGAGAGTCCATAAAGATCAGGTGAGCCACTCGCCATAGTCTGTCCATGCCTGACCTTTGCTGGAAAGGTGCTTGGCTACTCCATGCCACACTCGGGATTCTATCTGTTACTATGCAACAGAGGGAGATCAAAAGGCCGTGTTTACTGGGTACGCTCCCCTTCTTAGTTGGGGCCTCCGACTAATGACGGTTAACATCTAGAGATACCCTCTTCCAAGGAGGTTGCGGTCGCTTCTTCGAAGGTACACCCGCGGAAATGCATAAAGCATTGTCGTATTTGGGTACATTACCGGACGATACCGTTGTGTACAATGGGCACGAATATACGACTGGCAATCTCAAGTTTGCCAAATCAGTCCGTGCAATGAAATTGCTCAAATAAATTACAACTGACATGATATTAGGTCGATGCAGATAACGAAGGAGTATCTCGACTTCAATCACTTTGCGACGCGAACAAAATCACCACGGGCAAAAGTACCATTGGCGACGAAAAGGAATGGAATGTCTTCATGCGCCTAGATAGCGAGGCAATCAAGTCTGTATCCTTATCTCTCAGCTCGTGCTTTTACTGATGGGCCACAGGGAAGCTACAGGGAAAACAGATCCATCCGAGGTGATGGGCAAGCTAAGGGAGATGAAGAACGCAATGTGAGATGAATCTCTGTAATTTACTATAACGAGTGTAATATACAGCCTTTCGAACAAGAGGAAAGAGAGCAGAACAGATGCACAAACAATGTCGACGTGGTCCCGTTCTTTAAGCCATACCTATCATCTTGAGAACGGCTTGCCTTGCATATGGAATATACGATAGGGTGTACCTAGAAAGTCAGATATGGTTAGTAAAGGATGTCCACAGGTGAGAGTAAATGCATACCATGTATATGCCAAGTATTCGACAATGACCATGATGATACACAGCAGCTGGTTACCCAAGACGAATGCAGCAACAAAGACCATGCCGATAGAAACCAAAAAGACGATAGTGGCGACGATTCGAATGGGTTTGAACATGAGCTTGAGTTGCTGTAGAAAGCCTAATAGGAAGCCAGTACCGAGGAGAGAGATGAGGATTCCGAGAGTGTAGAGCACTGTGATAATAGCATGTGAGCAGGATATTCATGGGATAGCACAAGACACTGACTGGCAAAACTGAACAGTTGCCCTAGGAAGAGTAGCGAGGCACCTAATATCGACAGAACGAAACCAATCGCCAAACTGTAGGAATAGAAACGGGTGTTAGTTTCTTATCTGACAAACTATCCAGCTAAACAGTCAAGGTGACTGGAAAGGGACTGGAGACAGGAGAGCGCCAAGTGGGAAGAGTGATCGACTCACCAACCAACGAATCCATAAAGCCTCTGGGTACGAGAGAGCTTGAGGAACGCAAACGCGCTCTCTCCTTCAAACATTTGGGTCTGCGGGATCGCATTGCTCGCCGCCTCTATAGAAGCCAACAATCACATTAGCATTCGAAACATCACTGACAGATCTATAGGATAAGATGATTGGGAGAAATAGGATGGGCGATATGGGTCAAAGATTATCGGCCGTCGTGAACGACTCGACGCCGAGCTCGAGCTAGATACGGCCGTTGTCAGCACCCAACGCAACTCGCAAACGCACGCGCGTATAGTCGAGCATAATGAAAGATCCAAAAGGGATAGCGGGAAGGGCGAGAAGAGGAACACGACAAACCTAAATTATACCATCCTGCTGGCATCTTTGCTAATTATCAACGTCAACCGTTTATCTACTCGTCGTTTTTGGGTCTTCAACTCAAGTTTACAGCTGAAGAACTGGACAGGGAGCAAAGTAACACGCGTATACCCCGTTCGGACTTTTTGGGTTCGGGGAGAGGAGAAATGAGGGCTGGACCTGCAGCGCTAAAAAAGGGGGAGCGAAAGATAACTCGAAGTCTCTTGTGTCTTCTAACTCTTGAGGACGAACACTAGGTTCAACGTCGATACAACCGTCAGAGAGAGATCGTGGTGGCAGAAAGCAAAGTCGTAAGAGAGGCTATTATGGGCCCTCTCAGCGACACTGCTTTCAGGACGACACTACTGCGCCCACAATTCATTCATTATGCCAACTCGTTCCCGTACCGCAGTGCAAAACTCAACGGACACGTAGCAAAACGAGCTCGAGTACGACGATCGATTTATACTAGTTGGATTCAAATATTCAAAAACAGGTCAATACCTAGTTCTACTCTAGTAGGGTAATACGTCGGGGAGAATTGAGCACGCGCTCAGACAAGAACAAAGGGGATGACATGGTGGTATGTCAAGAAACACGATTAATGCAATGCAGGAGAGAAAGACACGTGTAGAGTCCAATAAATGCTAGAATAGATGTGATGTGGCTCTAGATTGTGGTGGAGGAAATAAAAGTGGGTTCATCGACCGACCTGTCGATCAACGATGCACTATATGATAATATTTTTTTCGGAGATAGATAAATGTCGGATGCGCGTGTGGGTGAGGATAGAGTAGCACAGTTGTAGGTAGTCAAAAAGGTGGCGCGAGATGGGTGTCGGTATAGTTGGTACAAGTAATCAAGAACGTCGCGTCGAGTTCTCCCTTCCGCAGAAATGGTTTGTAGTATTGAGACGGGTTGATTCAAGAAATAGTATGCCAGGTGAGAGGCTGGTCCTCCGAGACCATTTGAATCATGCGGCCAAGTCCTCCAAAGTTCCGAATAGTCCTTGAAGGCAGGGAAATACAGAGGGCGCATAAGGATGGGTATAGCGCAAAGAACAACACATCAAGTGTCGATTGGCAGAGTGGTACGCCGTTACGGCACGGCCAAACTCGCACAGGCAACAATAACACTCAACACGAGCGCAACCGCCGCACTACGCATGAAAATGACCCACTGGATACGCGTGATAACCGGGTCCATCACCGCAGTAAGCGGCGCGAGCATCGTACGGTCCGGATCCAGCCCCCACCAGCCTTCCACCTTTTGCTTGGCCTTTTCCATTCTCGACTTGGGCTCTACACCCTCTTTGGTCTCTACATCCACATCTTCCATCGACTCTCCTTCTCCTTGTTCGTGCGAGTGAGGTGGGGGCCTGGCAGAGTGACGAGGTAACTCGGTGGTAGTCTGCATAGAAGTAAACGACGATGCCGACTTCCACCGTGCCAAATCACCGGCTGAAGTAGACGCGGAGGTCGTCACTGTACCCAGGCCAAGTTGCCTGTTCCTCGACTGCTCGTGATCCCACCCCGGTGGAAACTTCATGCCCGGCGGTAAAGGCATCGCGTCAAAGTCAAAGTAAACCGGCGAGTCGGGATAGTCGGGGCACGAGTATGCCGTGGTGGGATGAGACGAGGAGGAAGAGGGAGTATGGTACGGTCGCATAGGTGACGACGTAGGTTCGTTGAACGGGAAGAAACCAGCTTTCGAAGAGGGTGTGGTAGTGGTAGCAGTCATAGGACTTGTAGGACTAGATAAAGAGTTAGCTTGTTAAGAATGAGAATGGAGGGACGTACGGATAAGCAAGGGTATCGACGCGTCGCTTGATCTGACTCTCATCATCCCCATCCAGATCATATCCCTCTTCATACCCCTTGGCGTGATCCATCGCCTCCGATGCCGTCACCGTAGCCGTAGCCGTCGTAGCCGTCCCCGACCTTCCTCTCCTCCCACTCTTTGAAGGCAACTTGACAAACTCGGTAACCCCCTCCTCCCTATTCGTATCAACACCGGCAACCACACTCTTTCTCTTTTCCCCCTTGCCCTTCTCGTTCGCCAACAAATTCGGGTTCATCACCGTCTGCTTCACGCTCACGATCGGACTTGATATATCCGGCCGTCGCAACTCGTACGGATACAACTGCCTCGCATCACCAAACAGGAAAATGACAATGCAAACGCCGTGCAGTCCACAAATCAACGTCGTAAATCCAAACCACAACCCAGGGATAGCCGCCAACCTTGTCAACCGCTGATTCCACGAGTGCGTGTAGTGGGTTGGAGTAGGAATCGCAGTGTGTGGGTGAGCAGGGTAGTGTGGGATGGTAGCGGTGGAACGGAGAGAGGTGAGGATGATGGGGGACAAGCCCGCGACGATGATCGAGAGTCCGATGAGGATAGCGCAGATCGCACGATTCCTTCCTGCATTTCCACCGTTCTGCGCAATAAACCTACAAACGGAAAAAGGTGTTAGTACACGTGCATGCGCAAATTGGCGAGTGAAAATGTCATATATGTCAATCGAAACAAAGCAGGGGAGGAGTAAGGAAGGTTGAGGAGAGGACCGCACAGATCGCACCGATGTTTGCGGAGAAGGAGCGCGGTGCCCAAATGACAACCAACGATAAGAAATGGAGTGAATGTGAAATTAATGACAGCCCTCCTTTTGCCAAAGAATAGCGGGAGGAGTCAACTGTCAAGTCTATTTCTTCACCCGCTCGCCGAGATGAACGAGAGTGTGAACGGGTGGCACGCTTTAGGCTTTTTGGAAGGCGACGAAACAGAGCGGGAGCGTCAAAGAAACAGGAGCCGTAAGAGCGTATATCATAAAGCAAGGACAACGATCGGAGTGGTCAAAGGTTAACCAGGGCCTCTCCGGACAGGTGTGACAGCCCGTTCCCCCTGCTGTTGTCCTTCTTCGCGCCCGCCCTGCTCGACGCCACCGACAGCTAAACTCCCGTTCGATCTCGGGAGTTTTTCCGACCGAGAAGGTGAAACCACGACCAAAAATCACGAGGGGCGAAAAGCAATAGAAAATTTAATTTTGGGAAGAAGAGAGTGAAAATGAAAGGTATGAAGGGAAAAAGAAGTTGGAATAAAGAAGTGTTGCTCACCTGGTCAGGCTGTCGTTGAGATAGGTGTCGACTTCGAATTTGACGGCTGCGAGTGCGCTGGGGTGTGGGTGTTGAACAGGTCCTGGGTGTGGTTTTGAAGGATGCAAGAGTTGCTGGAGCGTCTTTTGTGGGAGGTTGAGTTCCCAGGGCGAGCCTGGTGTAAAGAACGTTTTCTTAGCTCGTGCATACGACATGGCTAGTCCCGGATTAGCCTTGCTGGGGAACGAAGCAAGACCGCCACCACCATTATTATCTCCTCTTGTAGATTTAGCTGTTGTTGCTGTGGATGGGATTGGAGAGGTCGGATCGGCGTTGTGAGTGGCGTTGTTAGCCCAGCGCGTCCATGCTCGCTCATAATCTGCAAACCAAAAGTAGAAATACAAATTCTCGGCCGAGTATTCTTTAAAGTAGAGGAAATCTTCAAATTCTTTGCGCCCGAGCGGGGGGAGGTGGCGACCCTTGAGCACATCGTCCAAGAGCACGCGATAGGAGGGTGTGAGCTTGAACGAGCGTACGGTGCCTACCAATGGAGATTTGCGAGTCACGTTCTTTCGGACGACGAGGGATGATTTGGAGGGTGGGTGTAGGAGACGGTGGGGGAGTCGCAGGAGGTGTTTGGGATTGTAGCTAAACTTTTTAGGCTTGCTGCGTTGAGAAGAAGCTCTGCTGTTGGTGGTGGTGGTGGTTGGGTGCATGGAGGATGCGGACGAGTCTGATCTTGTCGTGGCGAGAGCAGGCAGCTCTGCGAGATGTGCTTCCATGACAATTAGCTAGTGAACTAGATAACGAGAGTAAAAGCGAAGGAGAGGGGAGAGAGAGGAGAGGGAGGGGAGGAATGGATGGATGGATGGAGAGGGGTGGAGAGTGATGCATAAATGTCGTCGAGATCGGACAGGTCAGGATGAGCGAGTGACAGCGATTGAACCTGCCACTCGCTCGCTCTCTCTCGCTCTTACTCTCCTCCTCTTCTTTGCATCCGCAAAATGAACCGCTGACATGTTGGCTTGTCGGATTACTCCTGCCTTATGTGTTCGTATATCACCAAACTAGGAGAGCAGCTATCGCTCCATTCCATTGCTCTACCCCTGATACATCCCCATTCCATACACAACCTGGACGGGGCCCTCGTCCATTTTCATTTCTCGGGAGCTGTTCACGTACGTGCGTCTATCCATTGCAGTGATGGAGGCACTCTTCCGGTAAACATCTCAGAGACACTTGCTGGCTTTTCTGGCGAATAAAAACACATGTGAGCGCGTCTCCGCCGACCACACGCTGCACACTAGAAACCACCCAACAATTCCTGGAAAAATACGCAACAATCTATACAGACTAT